ATACTATAACATTTTAATAGTTCAGATGGAAAACAAAACTCATCGTCTATCTACATATAAGCTTGGAGTTTTTTGGTTTCCTTCTCTGGATACAAAATAAATTAGTCTTTATGTGCTTCTAAATTATTGAGTTTGAACTAATTTTCTAAATATAATTTTATCCATGTCTTACATGTGAAAATAAATAATTTTCTTATATGAAGTTATGGCACATTTTTTGGCATTGCCCCGGGCCTAAAAAATCTTTGGACTGGCCCTGGTCTCGAGTTGGGGTGGTGCGACGGCAAGTGGCAGCATGGTGTGGGCACAAGTTTGTCGTCTGGTGATGGTGCAAGATTTATGGGTTCCCGTTGATCGTCAGGACGTAGCAAATCTTTCATAGCTTCAGATTAGAAGCAAAGGCAAATGGGTCTGGTTGTCACCCAATACAGTGAAACAACGCAGTGGGTTCAGGTCAATAACGACGGCGTCGCTCACTGGCGGACGGCACACTGCACAAACAGTGGCGGGCTAATGATTCTGTGCCCACAAGATTTTTTTCGAAATTTTTCTTAATCTGGCTCTAATACCAAGAAGAGAATGCTTTTTACAATTGTATATTGTGTCTCTAGTCATCTCTCAAGGAGAAGCTTCTAAGATGATACAATCATATCAATAAGGAAAGAACTAATTTACATGAAATCATGCTAAACTAGGAATCCCAAGATCATAGAAATATAAAAAGTCAACATAATTTAACTTTTGAGTTGGAACATGACAAATCAAAGAGGTCGTCACTTAATACTACAAATCAAAGGCGAATTTGAATCATTATTATGGCTAACCCATTATAAAACTTAGTCCACTCAGTTTTAGGCAAAAAAAAAAAAAATAGAGAACTTTCCACTGAGATACATAAGAAAAACGTTCATACGCTCATCATTAAGTGTTTGGACAATTTTTTACTTTTTAAAACATACTCGATAAGATATTTACAAAATTAATTTTAAAACAAACCAACAGGCGCACAATGAAGATATGCCACAATTATCAAGTGGGGACAACTACTACTAATACACAATTTGGTATTATCTAACGTCCAGTGGAATTGTTGATTAAGCATATCATGTTTGAATGTAGGGGTGGGCATAAAAACCGCAAAACCGCAAAATCGCATCGAACCGTAAGAAAAAAAAACGGAAAAAAACCGTGTTGACCGGAAAAGTCAATTTTGAGTGAAAAACCGAACCGAACAGTTCAAACCGGTTCCGGTTCTGGTTTCGAATGACCAAGAACCGGCCGAACCGAACTGAACTGTTTTATTAATAATAAATAAATAAATTATATATACACACACATGTCATGGTATAATAGGTTGAAAAATGGGTTGAAAAATTGTGTACAAGAGCTGCTGCTTCTTGCTTGCTCTCTGAAGTTTGAAAACCTGCAATTTGCTTCATCATTTTTTTGTTTGTTGACTGATTGACCAGTGCATATGTATTTTAGTTCTCTTTTTGTTGACTTGGTGCCACTACCAAAGACATTTGCATTAAAAAAGATGTGTTGTATGCAACTTTATGTAATCAGTTTTAGAAGATGTATTTGAATGCATAATGATTTGATGTTCAAATAATTTATTATTAAGAACCGTAAACCGACAAGAACCGAATCGGAACCGGTGTAGACCAAACCGTAATGCTCTAGTAATAAATTTAAGTGCAACCGCACCGAATCGAACCGTTAATATATTTCGGTTCCGGTTCCAGTTTAGGAGTGGAATCGCACCGAATCGCACCATGCCCACCCCTATTTGAATGTGGAAGTGTTAAATACTTAACGAAGGTCATTATTATTATTGAGCCGAACCCCTTAAGCATTAAAAAACAGATTACCATTTGGGCCCGTTTGTTTTGCTTCATTAGGTTTCACTGGACTAGACTGGACTAGCTTTTAGTCTAGTCCAGTGTTTGTTAGCATGCAGGGCTAAGATTAATGAGATTAGCCCGGACTCGTAAGGACTAGCAGCATCACTAGAGGTTCTTAGCTAGAGTCCCCAAAAACCATGGACTAGCTAAGACTTGCTTCGTTCCTCTGTCGCTTGTCTGCTTCCCTTCGCCAACTCCACCGGAAAAAGGGTTTGATTTTCCCAAAAAGAAACTCGATGACTCCGCCGTTGAATCACCGCGCGACTGCCACAAATGCATTGAAATAGCCTGGGCTTTCACACCCTCCGCCGTTGAATTGTTGACTCAACTAACCAACTCCCTCAGCAGGTCTCAAATAGCCGGGCTCCAACTCCAAGAAGAGTTTGGATCGGCCGGATCTGGGGCCTGAGAAGATGGCGGTGAATTGACAAAAAAGAAAAAAAACAAAAACAAAATCGCTCAAGACTTTAGGTCCTTCTTGAAGCTCGAGTACAAGAGAATTAGAGCAAATTTCTTCATTTTCTGTGACTTGAGATAGGAGGCAGAGAGGGAGAGGGTAGAGAAAAAGGAAGAGGGGGGACTGAGAAAAATGAGAAAGATAAAAGAGGTTGATGGACGGAGAGGTTTCTAAATTAGAATAAAATATGAATTGAATAATATAATATTATAATTTATTGTTATTCTGTTTTTTAATCCGATACTACACCAAACGCTTTACTAAACTAGTCTAGCTTAGTCTAGTCTAAGTCAGTCTAGATTAGCCCCAGAAGCTACTACAATCCGAAATAGTCTGATGCAACAAATGCACCCTTTAAGTTTTAAACAGGTACAAGCGTGTGCCCCCAGAAAATGGTCTCCATCCGGACTCTCCACTTTAAATACAACTAGTATGCAAAATTGCAAACTACAATCTTTATAAAATTATGGCTTACTTTAGCAACCACTGCTTAGAACTTGATTTTAATCTCATTTTGTTCTTTGTAACTTAAAAATCATCACTTTATTTTCTAGTACTAAAAAATTGTTCCACTTTCAATTGTGGACTCTCTCTTTTCTCCATGTAACTCAAAAGTTGCCCCCTAGAACATATGTAAAATTCACCACCCAATAAGACTATGCCACATGTGCCAATGAATTTGATTGTAAATTTCTACTATTCGTTAACTTTCAACAATCAGGAAATATTAAGTTTAAAGAAAAAATTAAGAATTGGACTTTTTTGTTGTTGTTATGCTTGTGTTGCAAAGAATTAACAGACTTAAGACAATGTGGTGCGAATTTTGAGCTTTATATGGTAGAATGACGATTTTTAAGTTTCAAAATTGAGTTCCGAGTGCAAGATGAAGCGAATTTTGAGTTTCAAAGAGTAAGTACTGGTTTGGTACTGAGGTGCTTTTATAAAAAGTAGGTATAAAAAAAAGCTGAGCTCAAAAAAGTGTTTGGTAAACACTTAAAAACAGCTTATTTTCACAGTTTTGAGTGAAAAAAAAGCTGAAAATGTGAAGCAGCAAAAATGAGCTTTGAAAAAAAGTTGAAAATGTAAAGTAATATAAATGTTGGATTATATGTTAAATGTTGGATTATGATTTCTTGTTAAACGTTGAATTATGATTTCTTGTTAAACATTGAATTATATGTTTAAGATAAAGTTTATAAACATTTTTCTTTTAAAAATAAAGTATATTTAGTAATTCACCTTTATTTGTTAAGAAAATTAAATTAATGGCATATATAGTATTATGTCCTTTTTGGTCATTTCACACAGTCACAGCTGTTTTACATAAAAGTTTACCAAACACTATAATACTGCTTTTTTTTCCAAAAGCACTTTTATAAAAAAGTTTACCAAACACTTTGCTGCTTTATTTCACAGCTGCTTATTCTCACAACACAGCAGAAGCAGTTTTTTTTCAAGGCACAACAATACCAAACTAGCCCTAACATGGTGACTTTTGAATTACAGGAGAGTAAAGCGAGATTAAAATCGAATTCTAAAGGGAGTGGCTAAAAGTAGAATCCGGATCCTCTTTGTGAGGATCCCGGAGATCCGTGAATCATATCTGTTCACCGTATATTGTGGAGTTAGAAATTATTATATTTTTATTTAAAATTAAATACAAACAGTACCTGACAAAAACTGACTACACGATATACGATGAACGAACACAATTTATGAATCCCCAGGATCCTTACCAAAAGGATTCGGAAAGGATCCTGTTGGGTAAAAGTAAGCATAAAATCATCCAATGACACTTTTAGAGGGTGTATTGTATGCACAATTTCAAACAGCAAGTTTGAATACTAATCCATCTAAGAGACAAAATTGTAGCAATAGTCCCTCAAATTTAATTCAATTGAAATAATGGTTTCTTAATTAAATATCCATATCATTGGTCCCTTAACTCATCAAAACGTGCAACTATAGTCAATTTTGTTAACTCTGTCAGAATTTTGTCAAAATGAGTTATGTTGGAAGGACCATTACTATAATTGAGTTAGAGTTGAGGGACCATTTCTCTAATTGGGTTAAAATTGATGGACCATTTCTCTATGTAGGTTAAAGTTGAGGGATCATTGCTACAATTTTTCTCATTTGATTTTCCATATTTGCCTCTCGATTCAACCTCATGTGCGTGGCACATGGCTCATTTTGACGGAAATTCTTATAGAGTTGAATAAAAGGATCATATGTGCACATTTTGAGGAGTTAATAAACCAATGGTCATGGATTTTAAGTTGGAAGACCATTACACCAATTAAGTTAAAATTGAGAGACCATTGCTACAATTTTCTTCTCTAAGAAATTATAGACAAGTGATTAAGCTTTCCTCTTCAATCCTGAGTTCAAGGTTCAAACCTCCTCCGTTAGTTTTGAAAACGATATATTTACATTAAGATGGTGAGAAATAAATTGATTGCGAACTCACTATTCTCGAAATTTAAGCTTATAATTTCTCACATACAAGTAAAAATAAATAAAAAAATATTACTAAACTATAATACTAAATGTTCTCTTCTTGTTAGTTTAAATTAGTAGTATTAAAAATAATAACAATAAATGAATTATGAGATTAAGTTGAAGGGACAGGGCAAAAATAAAACATATCATCGTGGTAATTATTTAATATATAGGGGAAAGCCCATTGGAGAAAGCCCCTAGGACATAACAAGTTTATTTTGAAAAATATTGTATAAGATGAATATGTGAAATATCAAAATATGTTGATTTCAACACTTTTGCCCTTCATATCTCTCCACGACTGGGCAAATCTCTTTTGGATATCGAAGCAAAGGGATATTATTCCCCTTAAAAAACAACTGAAAAAACCAAATAGGGGTCGCAACAATCTGCTGACTACAAATCCAAAAATGCAAATCCTACTTAGCCGCATCCTTTCAAAGATGATCGATGATTGCCTGCGTAAAGTCAGAAGTTGATGAAGAGCCACCAAGGTCAGCAGTTCGGAACTTCCCCTCAGAAATTGTGCCGAGGATCGCATTTTGGATCCGATCAGCTTTATCATGGAGCTCCAAATGGCGTAGCATTGTAACAGCACTCAGAAGCAGGGCAGTTGGGTTGGCCAAATTCTACGAAATTTCAATCAAATAATGAATTACGAGGAAACGTATTGATAAAAGATATTTCTACGGGAGAGATTCATAAGTAACGAAACAAATCGCAATAAAATGTAATCGATGATTTGAATCCTAGAATGGCTTTCATTATCATGGTACACCACGACATACCTCTGAGCAACAAATTTCAGAGCTTGCCTCCAATCCACTCATGGGACCAGATGTGCCAAACACCGCCAGAGTACCCAAAAGGATAAGAGGCCTTTCGGAATCTTGGTAGTGTAAAAAACAAATCTATGCAGAATCTCAAGCATAAGGCAACAGAAAAAAAGCGTCCAAAGCATTCAATTTCATGCAACTTTTGTTACAAGGAAAGACAATTCCTCCCATCCAAGGCCATACCAAGTTTGTTTCTATGTTAATCCTCTTAAGGAGGGCTACATCTACAGTTAGTAAATACCAAACTATGGGATGGAAGTTGGGACAGATGAGAAGATCCTCTCCCAGAAGAAAAAGACACTCGGGCCTAACACAAAGCGTTTTCCTTAACCGCAGAGAATGGATTTATATATAAAGTAAATTGAACGTCTAAAGGTTCAGGAATGCCAACCTTTCCAGCAATATCAGGTGCTGAACCATGTACAGCTTCAGCAAGGGCTATGCCTCCCTCACCAATATTGCAGCTGTAAAAGCAAGGCAAACGATGTCAGATGATTTGTTATTCTTATTACAAAAGGGAAAAAAAAATGCATATATACAACATACCTTGGCGTTAACCCCAAACCACCTATCAACCCAGCGCAAAGATCACTAATAATATCACCATAGAGGTTAGGCATCACTAACACATCAAAAAGTGCTGGATTCTTCACAAGCTGCATAAAACAAAATCATTAGATAGTGTCGGGTTGACTTAGTTCTATTCTTTTTTTATTTTTTTATTTTTTTTATATATATATAAAGAAAAATCCAAAACTACATGTTTAACGTGAATTTTTCCAAATTCTCAATGTATTGTTGCTAAAAAGCTGCAGGGCACATCATAAATGTTCACTTAGATCAAGGACTATGTTGCATTAGTTGACACCAAGTACCAAGTTACGCATGCACACAAATAGTATTTCCATAAAACTTGAATCAAGAAATTTATTCATACCATCATACAGCAATTATCGATGACGACTTCCTCATATTTGATTTCAGGGTACTTCTCTGCAACCTCACGACAACACTGAAACAATGACCAAACCAGTTTTGATATGAGCATACTTTAAAAGTGATAAAGAACAATAAAACTTATACATTAACAATTGGCGAACCTTAAGAAAAAGACCATCAGTTTTCTGCATAATGTTTGCTTTGTGAATTGCAGAGACTCTCTCTCTTCCATGGGACTTAGCATAATGAAAAGCATACTCAGCCACCCTCAAGCTTGCCTGACGGGTGATGATCTTGAGGCTCTCGACAACACCTCTCACCACCTACCACCAAAACAAAGAACCAAATCAAACTTATGTAAATTGAAAATCTGACTATATTCATCCGCTTATTCTGTAAACACTTACTTGATGTTCAAGTCCACTGTACTCTCCCTCTGTATTTTCACGAATAGTGATAAGATCGACATTGTCATATCGAGTTTTGTAGCCAGGGAGGCTGTAACAAGGCCTGACATTTGCATACAAATTAAGTTCTTTCCTTAGAGTAAGGTTCAATGAACGATGACCTTTCCCAATTGGTGTGGCCATTGGACCTTTCAAGCCTACCCCATTTTTCCGCACTGACTCTAAACTTTCCCATGTTAGGAAACTCTGTGTTCTAGGATCGATTTCAGTCCCAACGTAATGTTCTTCCCATTCAATTGGCACGTCAGCTTCTCTGAACACCTGCACCAGTGCAAATTGCGAACTGCATCAACACTTCAAACCAAAACAGAGTAAAATACAAACAATGGCCCTCACACACTGAATAGTTATTCTCCTAGGACACTGTACTGAGCACACACATTGCCTTTTCGCACTTGAACTATCCATTTTTGGGAAATGTAATCACATTTTTACGATGTGTAGCTAGCTCCCGAATTCGCATTTGCGAAAATGAATAAACACATCAACAAACAAAAACAATTCGGCTGGAAACTTTCACAATAGATCATATCATCCAAATACAAAACCGTTTTGAATAAACAACAAATATACATAATCGATAAGCCAAAATAATAATGTTATGTTAATTCCATTCTAATATTCCATGAAAGATATACTTTCCAATAGATTTCAAAACCCTAAATTTAACGTTGATTTGACTTGTGAGCGTGTGTATTGTGTAACACAAAATTATACATACAATCTTGACGGAAAAGAAACAGAATTTAAACGGAAATTTGATAAGAAGGAGGCGATGGACATCTGATAAGGACCTGTTTGACGGACTCGGCGATCTCGGGACCGATACCGTCGCCGGGGAAGAGGGTGGCTCGGATCGGAGTGGAAGCGGAGGAGAAAACCCTAGCTGCCTGAGATAACGGGGATGATGACGACAGCAAGCTATGGCCAGGGTTCGCGGCGCCGGAGAGGAAGTGGCTGGAGGCGCGCCTCAACAGGTGAGAAGCCATTGTCGCTGATTGTGTGTAATTTTGCGATCGGAAGAGAATGAGTCCCGACTTTTGGTCGTCTTCTTATAACCAAATGACCATTCTCATGACCATCAGAGTGGAGGAATATGTCTTTTTCTTTATTTTCTTTTTGATATAGGTACATAAGTAAAGACTTTTTAATGTGCCGGAATGCTCGATCAAACATCCTTGCATTTTAGTGATTTGATTAAACTTTTTTTTGTCATAATTTTGATGCTATAGACATATTATATTGTAACAAATTTCCTATAATCTAGCCTGTTGATTACACTCTCCTTCGTTAGAGATAATTGTAAAAAAAAAAAAAATGTTCGTTAGATTCAATTTATTTTCACAATAATGCTACGATTTAGCAATAATTATCTATGATTTAAGATATTTTCTTTCCAAAATAGTTCAAAATTTTTTTAAATCCCACAAAATCAAACATACCGAAATAAGTTTTTCTTTCAGTACATTAAGAGAATATAGGATTGAGAATAATATAAACGTACCAAAATAAAAATAATGTACTAATATTAACAATATGTATCCAATCAAACGTACCAAAATTACAAATAAGCGTACCAATTAATTCAAATGTAGCCCACACACAATATATACGTAATGTATTTTACCTAATAATAATTCGTCAACAACTACATTTAAAAAACCAGCAAAAAAAAAATTTGAAAAAATTACACAGAGCTTTTATGTTGATCACCAATTATTTGAAAAAAAAAAACCATTTAGAAAAAGAAATAATATTAAATGTTTGCATAACCACAAAAAAATTAAAAAAAAACTTTGATTTAAAAAGCATATCTAGAATAAGAGAAAATATAGTTTAATTACTAATATCTCCACTAAATAAGGAAAATTGCATCATGCAGATAAAAGAATAAATTCAAAAATTATTTTAATTTTAAATAATATAATAATGACATGTAATTTAGCTTAAGGTGACTATTGGTCAAAGCACTTTAATCAAATTTTAAAAAGGCACAGATGTTGAATCTAAATTATATAAAAAAAAAACTGTAGGGATTCTAATTTTCTAAAAAAAAAATTACAATCAATTGTAATATGGCGTTTGATGTACCAGGTCGTGTTCTCCACACATCAAAAAATTTCTCATATATAACAATATATTTGGAGTAAAAATGGAAAAATAAATTGATTGCAATCTCGTTAAATTTTTAGATTTGAACATAAGACTTAACACTTTAAGTGCATAAGAATATCGCTAGACTATAACACTAAATGATGCTTCTATTATCATTTTTTGTTTTATCCTTCTATACATAATCTGTCACATCCCGGCCCGGGACGGATCACTTCCCGATCCCGCTCCACCACCGTAGCACGATATTATCCGCTTTGGGCTTACCATTCCCTCACGGTTTTGTTTTTGGGAACTCACGAGCAACTTCCCAGTGGGTCACCCATCATGGGATTGCTCTAGCCCTCTTCTCGCTTAACTTCGGAGTTTCTACGGAACCCGAAGCCAGTGAGCTCCCAAAAGGCCTCGTGCTAGGTAGAGATGGGAATATACATTTAAGGATCACACCCCTGGGCGATGTGGGATGTCACATAATCTATTAAGATTTATACAATCTCACTCCTAAATAAATATAAATACTCAATTAGATGGCACATCAGGTCTTTAGTGATGATTAGAAGTAGTTGATGAAATTGTCGTCACAATGAATAAACGAATGTCTCGAATAGGAAACTTATTTGAAAAGTACATCTCACAAACTGACTGTGGTAAAACTCAACGTGAGACAAAACACATTTGGTTGCATGAAGTTATGTAATAATTGTTTATGATCGTGATGCCCTATTTACTTCTAAATTTAAGAGTTTTTTTTTTTTTTTCAACAAATTAAGGGTATTCAACTACTTTAAGTGTTTGCATCTTCAAATACACAGACAACCAGAGATAACTATCAAACATTTGAGGATATGTTGAGAGCCAATGTAATCCAATTTCAATGGTAATTGGGACAATTATCAGCATTTGATGGAATTTGCTTACAACAGTTTCCATGCAACCCTTGATCTGGTACCTTTTGATGCTCTGTATAGGAGATCTTTGAAATTCATATGACTGCTAGCTTTTGGGAAAGAACGGATATGGTGAGGGCTTTCAATTTTTGACAATAACATCCAAAAGTTTGAAATCCCATAAGTTCTTGGTAGACGTTCTTTATGTATTCAAGGACGAGAAGAGAGAGAGAGAGAGAGAAGAAGAGAAGGGAAAGGAAGAAAAGGTTTGTCGAGCGATGAGGAGAACGCCAACACGTGCAACGATGAGTTTGGTTGTTGCTCCCTATGAACCCCGAGCTCTTGCAAAGTTATACAGGAGGAATATTAATTCAATTACACAAGTGCAACAGTGGGAAGATAAATTTGATCGTAGGGTTTAATTATAGTGTTTGGGTTTATTGATAAATTTGAGTTTTATTATTAATTTCATTTTGTACTTAATAGTAATTGCAATAGGGTAAAATAGACAATTAACATCTAAAATTTTAATTGAGTGTAAAAAGAGGTTGAATAGGTTTGAATAAAACTTCCCATGCTTTATTTGTCGTTTAGTAGCACGTGATCGTCAAAGACTTATCATTAACAATTAAGATCCTTCTAGTCTTCTTTCTCGTGGGATTTTTTAAAGATTTCAAGGCCAGAACTTTCCTAATAATTTTGATATGGAATAGGAGCTGATTTCAAGGCTTTGATTTTTCCTTTTGAGTCGGAACTGATTTCATTCTAAATTTTTTTTTTTTTTTTTTATGATTGTCTATCTCTTATGCATGAGTGCTAGCATTTTAGAATTGGAACTGACAGTTAGCACAAGAGTTAGAGAATTATGAAAGGTTTCAAAGCTTTGATTTTTCAAGGCCTTCTGTTTGGCTCTGTTGTTCTCGTCTCCTCCTCTGTTGAAACTGAGACATCCAAAGATAATAAGAAGGTTAATTATTTATTAATTAGTGCGTGCAGTCTTCTTCTCTTTATCTATGCTAGCTAGTTAAATATTAGTTTACGCGTTGGTAGATAAGGTCTTTTTTTTTCAACCCACTATGTGACTCAATTTTAAACAATTGTGCAGTATTAATATGGTTACACTTTTACACTTTCGACATACCTATGCACCCATTACATATGTACAGTCGACCAAACCACATGTATGTACTTGATTATTAAGTTCGTCATAGAGTACAAGAATTTGAATTTGTTTTCACTAAGTTCGTCATAGTGTCACAGTTTGTAATTAATATTGATAAATTATGAACGTCATTAATATTTTCTACTATCTAAAATGATTTGGTTGTCTCCATAATTTTTTAACCTTGCATCCTTTTAAATCCACCCTCCCCTCGCCAATTCCTGGCATCATAGTGTCACTGAAATGTGGTGTGCTATGGAAGATGATGGTTAGGTATTTATAAGAAGAAAATATAATTCTTTATATTTTTCTAATTTTTTTAAAATAATTTATCTCAAACTTAATTAATATGGACCGTTAGATTACATTTTTTTTTTTGCAATCCAACAACCCTAATTTTGTCACATCACCCAACAGTAACTTTATTTTTTTTTTCTAGATTTTTTATTTTATTTTATAAGTTGGAAGACCAGGACCATTCATTAGAGCAACTCCAGCATTGTAAAGGCCCCTTAGGGCTACTCACTATTGAATCCACTCAGTGAACAGTAACTGCTTTTTTGCATTTCCACCCCTAAACTGAATAGTCATGACAATAGGTAATGAAATATTAGTATTTTTTTATTTTATAAAATAATACAAAATAATTTTATTTGTAATTTCGAATAAGATTTTTAATTGTTATCGTTGTGCCACGTCTTATTATCCGAAAAGACAATTATTGGTGATAGATTTCGATAAGATTTTTATCCAATGCCATTGTGCCATGTGTCGTTACCTTTTCACAATCGTTGATGATAGATTTCCGATAGGATTTTTAACCAATCATGTCGCACCACCTTTCATAATCTGTTTACAATCTTTGAGGATATATTTCGATCAGATTTTTAACGAATGATGGCATGCCGCGTGACATTATCTACAACTTAATCCTTTCTTTTTCCTCCATATAACCCACCATCCATCCTAAGAAATCACACACCAAAATCAAAATCTCTATCATTATTCATAGTTTTTACTTCTTTCTTCACCAAAATCAAAATCTCTATCATTATTCATAGTTTATGCTTCCTTCTTACAATGTCTTCTTCTTCAAGGATGTTGTGGGAAATCGAGGAGCAAGAGAAAGAATTGTTTAAGCAAGGGGAATAAAGGTTCAATCTCCAGGTGGCCCAAAATGAGATGGATGAGGAAGAGGAAGAGGATGAGGAGCGTAGAAGGAGAGATGACAAAGCAAGAAGCCAAACAACCTCACATTCCCATTGAGTCATTCAAGCTGGGGCTCAGATTTGCAGGCCTGGCCGTTCCGCAAACATTGATAGAAGCAGGCAACAACGAGGTAAAGATGTTTTGGACGATTATTTTATTCGTAACAGTGTATTCCCTGATACGTACTTTAGATGTCGTTTTAGAATAGAACGACATTTGTTCAACAAAATCATGATTGTTGTTTACAACCATGATTAATGATACTTTAGGTGTTACATTCTTGAGTCCCTGATGAGGTTTTGCTCCACAATCAAATCTCTTTACAACGTAGAGTACCTCCGGAAACCTACTGAGATGGACTTGCAAAGAGTCAAAGAGCCTCAAGTCATTCAAGTTGTGGCTTAGATCTGCAGGCCTAGCCGTTCCACAAACATTGATAGAAGCAGGCAACGACGAGGTAAAGATCTTTTGGACGATTATTTTGTCTGTAACAGTGCATTCCCTAATACGTATTTTAGACGTCGTTTTAGAATGGAATAACATTTGTTCAACAAAATCATGATTGCTGTTTACAACCATAATTCTTACTTTATGCAAAAGAATGATGCTTTAGGTGTTACGAGTCTCCTTCCTGAGCAAAAAATTACATGCTGCCTTGTAGATGCTTGCATATGGAGTATCTGCAGACTAAGTGGATAAGATAGCGATGATGGAGAAATCAACCATTCTTGAGTCCCTAATGAGGTTTTGCTCTACAATCGAATCTCCCTACACTGCTGAGTACTTCCGAAAAACCTACTGAGATGGACTTGCAAAGGCTTCTGATGAAGGCCGAGATGCGAGGTTTTTCTAGGATGATTGGAAGCATCGATTATATGCACTGGACTTGGAAAAACTATCCAAGTGCTTGGCAAGAGCTTATGGGGATAGAAAATGAGCAAAAAGTATCATTTTGGAGGCGGTGGCTTCATTTGATACATGGATTTGGCACGCTTTTTTTTGGTGTTACGGGAGCTCAAAATGTCCTTAATATCCTTGCCCAATCCCCAGTGTTCAACGATGTCCTGCAAGGAAAAGCACCCAGAGTCATGTACTGGGTCAACGGACATAAGTACCATGGGACCATAGTACCTAGCAGACGACATTTACCCAAGGTGGTCATCGTTTGTCAAAATAGTGCCACGTCCGCGAAGTGCAAAGGAAAAACATTTTGCAAGCTGTCAAGAGGGGTGTAGGAAGGATGTGGAGCATTGTTTTGGTATCCTCCAAGCTTTTTGGGCGATTGTCAGGGGTGCTGCTAGAATGTTTGATTAGAGTCGCTTTGATCCATCATGATGACGTGCATCATTCTTCACAACATGATTGTGGAAGATGAGTACGATTATGATGCCATTGATGAATATGAGCTAGACACGATGAACAATTCCATAACACAAATATATTGTGCTCATGATGCCACCGAAGAACCTGTGCAACACGAGCCATTACAAAGGGATGAACGTTACAATGAAAGGCTCATTCAACGATATACTGCGATTCAGGACCCATATATGCAAAATGCTCGGCAAATTGACTTGATAAAGCACTAATGGGGATTGAAACAAGTTCAAGAAACTTAAGTTCATTTAGTGTGTTTGTTTTTATTTGGTGTGTTTTTTAAGTTCATTTAGTTAGTGTTTTATTTATTTATTTGGTGTGTTTATAACTTTATTTGGTATGTTTATGTAATTTTATTTGGAGTATTTATGTCCTTTAAATAAAGATTCTCTTAGTTTAAATAAATTACCAAATTAAATACATATACTCTTAGTTTAAATAAATTACCAAATTAAATAAATATACTCTTAGTTTAAATAAAGTATTAAATTCAATAAATTGGAAACAATATAAAGTACTCTATTCAATAAATAAGAAATTACAACCCAAAGTGAACATGTGACCCAGCTGTTGGTATGGGAATTCAAATTTTTTTACTATTGGGAATCCTACGGCCCATAAATATAGTAGTTGGAAATCCAACGGTTGAGAACAACCCACATCGCCCCCTTTTAGAAGAGTCCGAGTGCGCCCCCGCCACCTGCCTTTGGTCGGCTCACTCGCCATGTTTCGCACGGACCACTCAACGGAACCAAACCAATATGATCGCCCAAAAATGTACCATGTACAACTAATCCTCATCACCTCTAGAATGCGTATGGTCCCCCATCGCGGATATACCAAGCAGGACCATAGGCAAAAACTCATTGTGCAGGCAATGATTACCCATCACGGGTATACCAAGCATGATCACCTCTGAATACATATGGTCCCCCCATCATGGATATACTAAGCAGGACCATCCATGTACCACAACTACGTGGTGCAATCTCATCATCACACATTGCACATAATTATACACATACATGTTATTGATTCCACATATCAACCAGCATCAAGTCAGATGGAGCACAACACAAGGGATTCTCTCAATTACTATTTCTACTAAAAATCTAATAAAGTAACTAACTCATCTCTTGCCTTCCATCTCCATCTCATGCTAGGTAGAATGCCAAGTTCAAATAGATATACAGTTGGTAATCATATCCAAATAATTATCAAACAATATTTAAATCCCATAATTGTCATACCATTCATCATAATTATCAATCACATTATTAAAAAGATAATTAAACACATATATGTCCCAAACATCATCAATGCACAAGCCAAATCCTATTTAATAAGCATAGGTCTATGGCTAAATATATAAAAATCACATTTCAATAGAAATCATATTCATAAGACTAATTCTTAATCACAATTGATACCAATATAAGAAATTAAGATAATAATCATGTCTCATATATTCAAGTCGCTATCAAACCAATATAGGCCCACTAGATTTTCACTAGCAATACCCTAAGGTCCGTAAACCATATCTACAATAACATACTAAAATTTGGTGTCAATTCAATGGTAAGATCGTCAATTGTTATAATATTTAAGTGGCGGACCCTTATCGAAAATATACTCAACCAACAGCATTTCATAAATCAAATGTTACATATCAAAGAATTCGACTTTTTCCAAAAATTCTCAAATTTCACAAGAATGAAGATCTCAACAAGAAGAGTAAACTTTATACCTATGGTTAAGGCCAATTTGGCCGGAAAACACCCCAAACTGGCCACGAACCGCCGGAACCTTAAGGTAGGTGTTCCTCAATTCGACTTCCTCGGTGTCCCAACTCCCCTACAACCTGTTGGGTCTTGTTTCTGGGTCCAAGGGGAGTTGACTAAGGGTGGTGGTGGGTAGTGAAACTCACCGGAATGGCGGAATCGCCATCAAAGCTCCTTGGGTCACCCGCACGGTTTTTACACGATTTTGGACCTAAAAACCCTCAACTTGGGATGGAAATGGAAGATGGGAGATGTTGGAAGAGGTTGCAGGTGATGGATAGTTGAATTTTACCTGAAAAGATGGTGGAAGTGGCTAAAAACCACTCCGGGTTGGCGCGGGTAAATGGATCCACGGGAATGGAGGGGAAAATATCCTCTTTTTCTTTTTTCCTCTTGGTCCGTCCTTTCTTCCTTAAGTGATTGGGCCAAAAACCAAGCCTTACATTGGTTCCCCTTCCCACCTAGTGGGAGTTTTAAAGAAAATTAAAGTCTATAGTTTAGAAACACCACTTCAGATGTCCATAACTATACCGTTATAACCTGGACTCGTAAACGGCTTTCGCTTATGCACTCATGGCTTCGAGACGTATTCGAAAACGTTACTTGTGACCTCGAAAGGTCAACGAGTAAATAGTAATTTTCCAAACTTCACTCTTCGTAACTAGTTTAACTGAAATCTAATTTCAAATAAATTAATATAAATTCTCGAAAAATAATATAAAATCTCAATAATACAAATATGTAGATTATAACAGTGAAATCCGAAAACGAGATTTCACACAATGAAAGGCTCATTCAACGATATACTGCGATTCAAGACCCATATCTGCATAATGCTCGGCAAATTGACTTGATAGAGCACCAGTGACAATTGAAACAAGCTCAAGAAACTTAAGTTCATTTAGTGTGTTTGTTTAATTTTATTTGGTGTGTTTTTTAAGTTCATTTAGTGAGTGTTTTTTTTTTATTTGGTGTGCTTGTAATTTTATTTTGGTATGTTTATGTAATTTTATTTGGTGTGTTTATATCCCTTGAATAAAGATTCTCTTAGTTTAAATAAATTAACAAATTAAATAACTATACTCTTAGTTTAAATAAAGTATTAAATTCAATAAATTAAAAACAACATAAATACTCTATTTAATAAATAAGAAATTACAATTCAAAGTGAACATGTGACTCAGCCGTTGGTATGGGAATTCAAATTTTTTTACTGTTGAGAATCCTACGGCCCAAAAATATAGTAGTTGGAAATCCAATGATTGAGAACAACCCACATCGCCCCCTTTTAGAAGAGTCTGAGTGCGCCTGCAAGAGTGCCTCGCCACCTGCCTTTGGTCGGCTTACTCGCCATGTTTGGCGCGTTAAAGTCACGGGCTTGAAGCAAAAAAAAAAAAAAAAAAAAACGTGGATGATGTTAGATAGCCTCAAAAAAAGGCCTCATGCCATTCTCACCTGATTGCCTTGCCCGTTGGAGTTGGGCCCACTCATTCGGTGAGGAAATTGGCATGGGTTGGGCCCACTCATTCAATCATCGTGGAGCAATTTGTAGGGTGGGATTGCTCTTAAGGCGGGCAAGGGATGAATACCGTATACTGCGCTGGTATACAAAAAGAACAGATAGGAAGACGCTATTTCTCTCCGTCTTAGTCTCATATCCGACGACAGACCGAGCAACCAGGTACTCAATTTGCTTGAATATATTTGTTGTAATTAATTAATTTAATTTAGTTAGTTAGGTTAGGGTTTGGCTGCTCTCTTAGTTTGCTTCATTTTTGTAGTTTAATTTTAATTCACGGTTTGGTTCTAGCAGCTAACATGTATGATGAACCCATTTTTTTGGGGTTTTCTGACACAGTGTTTATTTGGCAACCAACGAACGAGTGAAGGCGAACACAGGCTCGATCTCATCGATTAGGTAAACAAAATTCTCTCTCTCTCTCTCTCTCCCATCATTGAAGCAATTCAATTTTGGTGTTTGAATTAATGTTCCAATTTTCAGTTTTGGGGTTTGAATTAATTCTCTAAATTTCAGTTTTGGGGTTTGAATTAAGGTTCTAATTATTATCATGAGATCCATGAAGTAATTTCGGTTCTTAGGGTTTGATTGGCAATGAATTGTATGATTAATACTGTGATTGATATATGTATTAGTGCATTGCAGAGGTAATCGATGGAGGCTGCTGGCGATATCAGTGCTCGCAAGGGAGTTACGGTTGGTGCTGTGTCCGCCCTTGTTTCCCAATATAACAAACTATCAGTGTGTAACACCTCGGAGCATCTCATAAGTACTAGAAACTCTACGGGCAAGGAGGAGGACGAGGATGCACATCAACCGAGCTATAAGGCTAACAAGAAGAAAAGATATCTGGATGCCAAAAAACCGGCCTATCGTTCACCAAACAAGAACAAGGCGGCCTATCAATTTCCCACTATGCCACCATGGCCATGGCCAGTTGCTGAGGACATGCCTGTTGATGAAACCCCCTTTCCCGAATGTCTCTACCTTTTGACTGATGGTGATGGTCGCAAGGTTGCATTATCTGATGAGCCTTTTGACTTGGAAGATTTTTATGCTGATCTAGAGAAGGCCGATGCCAGGACGAAGGAGTACCTGATCTGGAGGGAGGAGGAGAGGAAGAAGGAGAAGGAGGCTATGTGCAGAAAGCCGCGAGGAACGAGGCTAGGAAAAAGGCGGGCTATAATTCGGGGTCTGGCGAAGTGACCCTACCCTGGAAGTAGGTAGGAGGAGATTGTGTAACTTCTATGGATTGACACAACGACTTGTCAAGGAGGTAGTCACTTCTTTTTTTTGGTAGAGGTTTAGTAGCATAAATAGGTTAATCGTTGATAGGCTTATAGCAAGCATGCTTTTTATTTATTTATTTTTTAGGAGAATATGATGATGGGGTGTGTCGTTCGTGTATGTATCTATCGACTTATGGTCCCAACAGAGTGCCGATTGTTGCTTAGTAGGACCTTGTTCATGGTTTTCTCCATCGCCTCCCCTCCCCGTCTATGCACGGGTTTTGATCCCCGCCCCTTCAGATACGTTTTAATGGTATTACAATGGCACCCGGTCGTCCATCTCCTCCATATGTCATCATCCCACGCTTTCAGTTTCAGTTTTGCCAAGTGCTTGAACATCTTCCTCATGTTGGAGTGTGAGAGAAGCTATAGGGCGTTGGTTCATGTCTAAATTGGCAGCCAGAACGGATTTCATTTCCAAGCATGTAAAATGTCCAACAAAAATACATGAAAGTAAATTTAACGATGATTTTTTTAGAATTTCTGTTGTGGCCTATTTTAGTGACAAGGGAATAAGGGGGTGCGACAAAGAGAGAGAGAGTGGAGAAAGTGTAGGAATTTCTTTGTGTGATCAAGCGAGTATACTTGGGGATTGTTCTCTTGAGTTTGACATAATTCCAAAGAGAACTAACAATTTACAACTCAAAAAGTTTACGCATATCAATTCCTTGTACAAGCTTCTGAAACGTTGTCTTCGGGAAAGACTTGGTGAAAAGGTCGGCCAAGTTGTCCTGGGAACGAATTTGCTTGACTTCAATCTTCTGATACACTTGTTGCTGATGTGAGGAGAAGAAGATTGAGGCAATGTGCTTGGTGCTGCCTCCTTTGATATATCCCTTCTTAAGGAGAAGAAATTTTATGGATCGACACAAGGACTTGTCAAGGAGTTAGTCACTTCTAGCTAAGATATGTAATCATCAGGTGTTTTTACTTGTGCGTATTGTATTTTCGGAACGATTTGTAATGTTGACGTTAAGTGTAGCATCTGATGCCTCTAATATTTACTTATGTTTGGCTTTTGGCAAGCAGACTTTTTGTTTTGCGTTTTGAGTTTTGCGTGCATGGCCAATTGCAGTAGAAATGAATCGATTTCTTGGATTTAATCGATTGCACTACTAATGCAGTAGCCAGTTGTCTGTCAATTAAAATTGATTGACATGCGCACCACACTCTTTAGAGAGTAATACGGTTACTCATCCATAAGTTCTTAATATGCAAGTTACGTGACTTAAATTGTCAAAAAATTAAACATAATAGCTTCCAATCTAATAGCACAATTGTAATCGGAAAGTTTTTTAATCACTTTCCCTCCAAAACCTCTTGGAAAGCTTCATTAATAATACAAAACGAGGAACATCATCCATAAGCAATACATTTTCATGATTACAAACCCAACACAAACACAATACAGTTGCTATCTACATATATAACCACCACATCTAACTAAACAGAAAGATAAACGCTCACGAGGAGATACCGTTTGGACGACCATATGAGTACTTGAAGGCTTCCTCTATCCTCATTAACAGCTACACAACACTTTCTTGGTATAGTTCGACTGGTGGACTAGAATACTGCCAAAACAATATTCGATCTTGAGGCCGAGACAATATCGAGTTTTCCCAAAATTTTTTAATCTCAAATTTTGACTTGAGGTGCGCGATAGTTTTTTTTGGCTCTTTAGGAGTCCCGTTGAGATTTATGTTATCGATATAAACTTCAACTATCGTAAATTCAAAATGTGACTTGATGATAAACACGCAGAGGCATATTTTGTTATACGCAAAAACCCTCGCTCTACACAAAACACTTCTCACACACCCGAGAAGAATATTAACTATCCCAACCCTTCCTCTCGTTAACGCATTTTCAGTTTGAATAAGTAAATATCATTGTGTTGACAACTAGCCATATCTTTAGTTCGAATAAGTAAACAACATTGAAGTCGTAGAATCTAGCAACATAAAAGCACCTTCAATGTTGACAAGTAAAGAACAATGATTCTGGTTGGTTGGTTATATACCCAAGCCTCGAGAGGCGTAGAGCTCTCAACTTTTTCGCCCAAATATGTCACTTCAATAGCTTCCGAGTGGGGATGGGGGCCTAGTGCAGTGGCACTAGAGCCAAAGAAACTCCCACTTCACCCAAGTTCGATTCCCCCCATTCCCAAGCTTAACTAATGACCCAAAAAAATAAAAAAATAAAAAAAGTAGCTTCCAAGTGAAATGAGGTGTTGTATAATTAGTTACTCTCAGATGCATTTCATAATTAGACGTTCAGATGACTGACCAACGTTCACTAGTATACAGACACAAACCATTTTACCGTAAAAAAGAATAGAGAAAAACTAATTTAGGAGCCAAATGGATTACTCAAATGCAATTGGAAATCCGAAGAGGCCTTTGGAAAAGATTCCTTTAAAAGTAAAAACAAGAGACTAAGGGCTGGTTTGGTATTGCTGTGCTTTGAAAAAAAACTGCTTCTGCTATGCTGTAAGAATAAGCAGCTGTGAAATAAAGCAGCAGAGTGTTTGGTAAAATTTTTTGTAAAAGTTCTTTTGAAAAAAAAAAAGCAGTATTAGAATGTTTGGTAAACTTTTATGTAAAACAGATGTGAAAAAAAGCCGATTTTTCAAAGCTGGGTTTTGCAGCTTTTTGTTTTTGGCTTTTTTTCATTCAAAACTGTGAAAAAAAGCCGAAGCTGAGTGTTTACCAAACATAAAAATAACTCTCAGCTTTTTTTGATAGAAGCTTTTTTCAGAATCACCTTCCTACCAAACCAGCTATAATAATGTTGAGTTTTGCGTGTGGAATACGAAAAATGTAATAATCCATACCATTAATGATTTCCCACTTCCCAGTCCAGTCCCAGTCCCAGTCCCAGTCCCATCCACTGTACCGTATTCTCCGTCATAAACGACGCCGTGGGTTGAGGGTCACACTTTAAACCCTGGCCGCCGCCTCTTATCACCACCGCCAGCGCCACCGCAAGAAAATGAGCAAGAGGATGTCCGGTCCCAGGCTGAGGCGTATGTATTGGGGTTTGGGTCGACTCCGGTCGATTCTCATGGCGACGGCGACAATTGACATTGCTAATTTGCAAGTGTTTGTAGAGGTATTTATTTATTGCCTCCTCCTCGATTCTCATGCTAAATTGCTATTTGCTAAATTTTAGTTTAAAGTATGAAACTTTTTCATGTTTTCCTTCCTGTAATCTCTCTCTCAGCAACAATTAGATTAATATTATCAATAAAAGTTGTTTTGGTGTAGGGAATTGATGAGAGAGAGAGAGCGAGGGAGGGAGGGAGAGAGAGAGAGGGCGAGGGGTTGAAAGCTTGAAGCTTTTAAAAAAATTTTCTCGCTTATTTGTAATGCAGAATGGAGGACGGACATTGCTGAGCTATCTGGGCCTGACTTCCGGGGTTTGCATTACATCGGTGGATGGTAAACTAAAATCTGCTGGTCGACATTGTTCTCGCCTGCAAATTACATGGCTTTCGAACTACATATGGACAACCTAAAGCTTGCGCTCTCGTATACTTGTCCCCAGAGACCTTGCGGTTGCGGTTTCAGGTGATTTTTTTATACTCAAACATCCGATGACTGATGGCAAAGGTGGTGCTGGTGTTGTATCTGATGATCCACTATCAACAACTTCAGTGCCTTGTTCTATTTCTGCTTATGGGTGTTAGTGGCTGCTCTAGAATTGGTGGTTACTTTTGAATTAGATTTCTTGAGTATTTACTTGCTTTTGTATCTTCTAAATCTTTTGTCTATACCTACTTTTTGTCTTGTGTTGCTTGCAGCATGAGATAACTTTTGCTTCTAAGATTAACTTATTTTTGTTCCAACTTCGAATGTGGTGCTGGTTGATGCAGGTTTGCCGCGAAGGAAATCTTCCTCCAGATCCCCTGCCACTGTTCAACTAGAACTTGGTCTGGTTGATACATTTCTCAGTTTTTGTAGGGTTGGATGGCAAATGTGGCTGGCTGAAATTGAATTCAGTTTCTTTTGTCCTTTACTCCTCACCCAACAGAGTTGAACAGATACTGCTTTATTTTGGGTTTGAACATGTAACAGCTGCTGCTGCCTCTCACAATGTTGGTAAACTTATGGGAAAAAGCAGATGGCGCACCTTTCGCGAGTCATAATGTACAAAAACGTCAATCACTACCTATTTTCCTTGAGCTCGTCTGAGGCCCGTTTATCTCTAGGGTTACAATTCATTGATTTCCCCGGCGGGAAAAGCTCTCTGTGGTGAGGGTCCTATTAGCAGTGCACCTTCATAATCTTACCCTTTGTTGCATTGCATATATGTTCATACTTTCTTTGTCCACTTATGTTTTGTCATAAAGAAATCTGACTTCCACAGTGAAAGTGGAAATTATTTTTATGAAATGTTTTTAAACTTGCAGAAGAAAAAGTCTTCTTCATTTCTTTGTATTTTGTAAATTTAATTTCATCAATAAATACTATAATTGTCTTACCTCCCCGCACAGGATATCTGCAAACAGTTCAACTTGAGCTTAGAAAGTCCTTAGCTTGGAGGCATTGCCAGATCCTATATTACATGTTTGAGAACGGTTGATCATTTTTTAACCAAACCATGAGGCAGTAAAAGTAATTTCAGCTTCGAATCTCTCTTGGGTACCACCAATGACATTGAGTGAAGAACAGGCCGCCTAGGTGAATTTCTTCCTAGTGCTACCTTGCTCTGTTTATCTGCTTTTCCACGTAATTGTGTCCAATAAGATGCTGCTTTAGTTGCTGAAGAGCTATCTGCTATGAATTTGAATCCTTACAGCCATTCACTTACCCCATTCCGAGCTCTAGGAAAGTTCGTCTTAAAGAGTGACCATCAGGTAATAGTTATATTGGATCCTCCAATGCTGTACACATAATATCTTCCATTTGGTTTAAGATCTGAAATTCTAATGCTATGAATTGTTTGGCCTCATTTAGTCAATTTTTCCAAATTTTGAGATACCGTATCATTTTCTTTTAACATAAAAGTAAATAAATAAATAAAAAGATTTTAAAGTGATTTCAATGAGAGACGTGGACGAAACTGGAAAGTTTTCATAAAGATCTGCGTACATTTATGTACCAATAATGCATCGATACCTGGTGTAGCATGTGTGAGAAGTGTGTCAATTCGTGAAAATAAATTATTGCACCTTCTGACATGCTCTATAGAGAACCTTTTCTTACTGACTAACGGATTTGTATGATAGTATTCCTGATCTTGTTTGGGGTAATAGTTAAATTACTGATCTTGTCTATTTTGGCACTATACACAAATAGGATGTATTGCTATTTGGAGTTCATGCAAGAAGGGAGGCTTTTCATGGGAATACTGATCATGCAAGAAGAGTATTTATTTAGCATGGCATTTTCATCTGTCGAGTGTTGATGGCTTACTTTGGTAAGGTCTCTAGATGTTTATTGAAAATATGTTTTATTGTATATCAATTTAGCTACTGATATTTGTTTCATAATTTTTTTTTTCTGTCCAATATGAGTTTTTTTTTTTTCGTGAGGTGGTTAGATTTTGGATGTATTTTGTTTATTGGTAATGACTAGAACTTAGATTTTCGCCAATTTGGCATCAGAATCATTGAGGGGTTAGCTCTTTCTTTCGTCAAATTGATAATTCCTTTCAATAATCTTCAACCTTCTGTGTGAAAGTTTGTCGTGGACTTTGTTGGCATTTAGATATTGTATTTACTTTAATCTTCTACTATTGATTTGAGCAGGAATTACGGTCTGGAAGAGGCTTTTGCAATGGTGCTTCCAGGTAGTTCTCCTGTGCATCTCCTCGTGTCCTGTCGTGCTAGTAAAATTATATTTGATTCAAGTAGCTTTACTTGATCCTGTCAGTCATATTCCATAGTTTTTAAGTAGAGTAAATAGCGTAGGTGTTAGCGGGCATCCATGTTGCATTAACCAAAATCAAAGTATGTCCAAACTGCCACTACAGCAGTGGTTTTTAACCAAGAAAACATGCCTCCAATCCGATTTCATTATAAAAGGAAAAAAAAAAAAATGAAATAAAAATACAGCATTTATAAATTTATGTGGGTTGATAATCATAGTCTCAGACTTGGCAATGTATGTTTTACAAGTATAATTGAACATAAAATAATAATAATAATGATAAAAAGGAGATGTCTGAATTAAATTAATGGAGACGAAAGAGCCTTTACAAGTGAGAAGGAAGGAACGAACAAACATCATAAAAATTAAAAGAAAGACAAAGAGGAGAGAAAGAAAAAGACAAAACCGACGGTAAAACCCAGAAACAAAACAAGTCCACCAAAGCCTCCTAACCCTAACAACAAGGTTTCTATCAGAGGAGAGGGAGGGCGCCGCCCTTGGCAATGGTCTTTCTCTCTCTTAACCTTTAGTTGCTACTGAGAAGAAGGGAAAGAGAGAGAGAGAGAGAGAGACAGAGAGAGAGGACACCATTGAAGGCGACAGAGAAAAGGAGGCTGGGCAACACTTGGTTGGGGTATTTCTCTTTCGACCAAACCCTAGTTGAGTAGTTAGCTAGGGCTTTCCCTTTCCCCCGATATATGATGCTCTGTGTTTGTCTGTTGTTAGTTCTCACTTTTATCCTTCTTGCAGGGCAGTCTAGTGCGGAGAAACAAACAAAAGGGGCTGCCAGTCTAACAGTTTCCTTGCCGAAATGAGCCAGAGCAAATCATGGGGTATTGCGACACTTCCCTCCCCTCCTATTTATTTCATTTATTTACTAACTGCTTAAGAGATAATTAATTTGATTTGTTTCATTTATTTTCAATACTAAGGTAATTAATATTGGGTGCATATCGGATGTCCTCCTTTGTTATATATTGAACTAGATTATTGAAACGAATTCGAGTGGATTGGATTGATCTCTACAGTTATTACCCATACATAAGTATCCCTATTGAAATTCAATTTATGTTACAAGCAAAAAGAAGATATAAAACTCGTGTCCACCCCAAACAACTTAGTTGGGTCCGACTAGCATAAAGAAAACCTATCAATTCCAATTCCAATCCCAGTCCCAATCCCACTCAAATTGGTGGTAGGGTAGGAGAATGGGAGATAACATGATAAATAGTAGGGATCATTCTTCAACCATCTTCAATATCTACCTTCAACTTGTAGTCTTCCCGTTCTAATCCATATCCCTAGAGACGACCAACCAAGGCCTTGAAGTAACCTTTTAGCTATCGGTTTTGATTCATGTTCATATCAAATGAAATGAAATAAATTAAACCCTAATTTTATTGTTTTAGAGTCCCTTACGTTGCCTCTTCCTCCCTCCATTGCCATCTTTCTTGTCAATTCTTCCTTTTTTTTTATTCCTTAGATTGTTGTCCATGTCCATTTGTTCTTGGTGATGAATTATCAACACAAGCCAGCTTTGTTGATAACTTGGGAGATAATAGGCTGTACTCTCATGTCATTAACTATTGTTTGCTTAATTTTAATGAAGATGGGTATTGATGCATTATCTTATTTATCATATTTGAAGGAGAATATATAGGTTCAAAGTGAATTGGTTAGATTTGATCCAAAATGATGTTCGCAGTCAAGGAGTAGAACATACATGTGTTGCTTGCTCATGTAGTCGCATAGACAGTGGAAGCCGTCCTGGTTTGCAACTACGGGGTTAGACCAAGGGTCTCTGTGAGAGACTTGGCACTCAATGTAGGTGCTCCCTACATATTTGAAGTAGAACCACACACTGGCAAGGACAATGGTTCATCCTCTTCATGTGAAGAAATTGAGATGATAACTATCGTATTAGCTTATCGGTTTGCTGGTGAGTCTAGGTCAGTAGATTACTTTCAATTCATAAGCGAACACGGGATAATGTTGGAAAATTTTTGGCGAGTTGAAGAAGGGACACTTATCGAATAAGAGTGGGGGCTACGAAAATAAATAAACTATTCATGCATACCCACACAAACACTTGACCAGAGAGGATGAGTCAAAGTTGTGATCCATGGTTTTAAATGGTTCACCAAGCAAATTCCAATTGCACTCGGTATTCCTATGCCTAATCGAATGCGGGTGTCCGGTATGAATGTTAATCAGAGGGCTATTGAGATACAAATGATGAAGGTGCTTTTGACGCATCTTGCCATTGTTCTCATTATCTCAGTAGATCAACACTTTGCAATTACAAGCACGGAGTCTATGTGCCATTGCTGGATGAGCCTTGCGAGGCCCATACCCATGATGTGACACTTCTTGGGTGGGGAACATATGAAGAAAAGGTCACCGGCTTTGAGTTGAAGAAAAGAAAGAGGGATGAAGCTTCGAATGTGGGTGAATTTTGGCACATAAGCAATCCATGGGGGCAATGATTGGGGTATATTATAAAGGGAATGACGCTTCCTTATATCCACCACATTGCATTCCCAACATTTGACAAGGAGAGAAAAGTCTACCTAACTGCGGATGGCAATGTTACCAGCCACCAAGTTATCTCTGAAGGTAGTCAAAGGTAAAATAATTGACTTAATTGTTTTAAATTATAATAACTGAAACCTCGAAGTTAATCTTTTATTGTTCAATTTATTTCATTCTATGCAATGAATCTTCATTATTCCTTAAATTCTATATGTAAGATAGTTGGGCAATACATGGCATTTAGGCTTGTTTGAGTGGCACTGGAGTTCGGAAATGAAAAGAAGCAGCACATTTGTTTTGGTGATGTAGGGTTCTTTCTTAATTGGGTTTGAGCTTTTTGACTCTCTCTCTCTTGATAGATTAATGTGTTTAATAATGTTAGATATGTTATATATACACAGGATGGAGGCTCGTGCTGGTAATGCATATAAGGGAGCTAGATATGAGGCTGAGAGTAAGAGTGGAAAGCTGGCAAGTGGTGATAGTGCCTCCAGAAGAATGGAAACTACTACTACTAGTGTTGTTTCTTCTCTTATTTCTCATTATAATGGGTTGTTACTTGGCAGCAACAAAAGCGGAGGAGCATATGATACTCGTAGTTAATGCGGAAGTTGTTGGAAGGTAAGTTTTCTTGTGTATTTTTAGTATTTGATAACTGAGTGAAAACAATATTTTCTTTTCTTTTCTAATTCAGATGAGTCAGGTTTTGTTTTTGATATTTATGCAGTGTACAAAGGAAGGTTATCATCTTGTGGATCGTAGGATGGCGGAGATATGGAATTTTAAAGGGCAACACATGCTAAAGGAAAACAAAACATGTGTTGCTCTTTAAAATTCCATATCTCTGCTATCCTACGATCCACAAGACGATGACCTTCCTTTGTACATTGCATAAACAAAACATGACTCATCTGGATTAGAAAAGAAATGAAAATGTTTTCACTCAGTTATCAAATACTAAAAATACACAAGAAAACTTACCTTCCAACAACTTCCTCACTAACGAGTATCAGATGCTCTTTCGCTTTTGTTGCTACCAAGTGACAACCCATTATAATGAGAAATAAGAGAAGAAACAACACTAGTAGCAGTAATTTCCATTCTCTTGGAGGCACTATCACCACTTGCCAGCTTTCCACTCTTACTCTCAGCCTCATATCTAGCTCCCTCATATGCATTACCAGCACGAGCCTCCATCCTGTGTATATATAACATATCTAACATTATTAAACACATTAATCTATCAAGAGAGAAGGTCAAAAAGCTCAAACGCAATTAAGAAAGAACCCTACATCACCAAAACAAATGTGCTGCTTTCTTTCATTTCCGAATTCCAGTGCCACTCAAACAAGCCTAAATGCCATGTATTGCCCAACTATCTTACGTATAGAATTTAAGGCATAATGAAGATTCATTTCATAGAATGAAATAAATTGAACGATAAAAGATTAACTTCGAGGTTTCAGGGCACTTTATTATAATTTAAAACAATTAAGTCAATTATTTTACCTTTGACTGCCTTCAGAGATAACTTGGTAGCTGATAACATTGCCATCCGCAGTTAGGTAGACTTTTCTCTCCTTATCAAATGTTGGGAATGCAATGTGGTGGATATAAGGGAGCGTCATTCCCTTTATAATGTACCCCAATCATTGCCCCATGGATTGCTTATGCGCCAAAATTCACCCATATTCGGAGCTTCATCCCTCTTCCTTTTCTTTAACCCAAAGCCGGTGATCTTTTCTTCATATTTTCCCCACCCAAGAAGTGTCACAGGATGGATATGGGCCTCGCAAGGCTTATCTAGCGACAACACGTAGACTTTGTGCTTGTAATTGTGGAAGTGCTGATCTATTGAGAAAAAGAGAACAATGGCGGGATACGTTAGAAGCGCCTTCATCATTTGCATCTCAATAGCCCTTTGATTAACATTGATACCGAGCACCCGCATTTGATTAGACATAGGAATACTGGGTGCAATTGGAATTTGCTTGGTGAACCATTTATAACCATGGATCACAACTTTGACTCCTCTTCTATCTGGTCAAGTGTTTGTGTGGGTATGCATGAATAGTTTTTTTTTATTTTCGAGCCCCTACTCTTATTCGATAAGTGTCCCTTCTTCGACTTGCCAAAAATTTTCCAACATTATCCCATGTTCGCTTATGAATTGAAAGTAATCTACTGACCTAGACTCACCAACTTCTTCACATCAAGAGGATGAACCATTGTCCTTGCCAGCATGTGGTTCTACTTCAAATATGTAGGGCGCACGTACATTGAGTGCCAAGTTGCTCATGGAGACCTTTGGGCAAACCCCGTAGTTGTAAGCCAGGGCGGCCTCCACCGTCTGTGCGACTGCATGAGCAACACATGAATGTTCTACTCCTTGACTACGAACATCCTTTTGGATCATAAGTAACCAATTCACTTTGAACCTATATATTGTCCTTTAAATATGATAAATAAGATAATGCATCAATACCCATCTTCATTAAAATTAAGTAAACAATAGTTAATGACATGACAGTACAACCTATTATCCCCTAAGTTATCAACAAAGCTGGCTTGTGTTGATAGGTTTTCTTTATTCTAGCCAGACCTAAGTAAGTTGGTTGGGGTGGACACAAGAGTTTTATATCTTCTTTTTGCTTGTAACATAACTTGAATTTCAATAGGGATGCCTAGGTATGAGTTGATAACTTTAGAGATCAATCCAATCCACTCGAATTCACTTCAATAATCTAGTCCAATATATAACAAAGGAGGACATCCAATATGCACCCAATATGAATTACCTTAGTATTGAAAAATAAATGAAACAAATCAAATTAATTATCTCGTAAGTAGTTAGTAAATAAATGAAATAAATAGGAGGGGAGGGGAGTGTCGCGATACCCCATGATTTGCTCTGGCTCATGTTGGCAATGAAACTGTTAGACTAGCAGCCTCATTGTGTTTTTTGTTTGTTTCTCCGCACTAGACTGCCCTGCAAGAAGGATAAAAGTGAGAACAGACAAAGAATCATATATCAGGGGAAAGGGAAAGGCCTTAGCTAACTACTCAACTAGGGTGTCGTCGCAAGAGAAATACCCCAAACAAGTGTTGCCCAGCCTCATCTTCTCTGCCGCCTTCAATGGTGCCCTTTCTTTCTCTTATTTTCTCTCTCTCTCTCTCTCTCTCTCTCTCATAGTAGCAGCTGAAGGTTAAGCAGCAGCTAAATGCAGAAAGCCGCGAAGAACGAGGCTAGGAAAAAGGTGGGCTATAATTCGGAGGTCTGGTGAAGTGACCCTACCCTTGAAGTAGGTAGGAGGAGATTGTGTAACTTCTATGGATCGACACAAGGACTTGTCAAGGAGGTTGTCACTTCTAGCTAAGATATGTAATAAGTGTTTTTACTTGTTCGTATTGTATTTTTGGAACAACTTGTAATGTTGACGTTAAGTGTATATTCGATAGCCTCTGTGCCTCTAATTATTTACTTGTGTTTGGCTTTTGGCAAGCAGACTATTTTTTAGTAGATTTTTAGTAGCATAAATAGGTTAAGCGTTGGTAGGCTTATAGCAAACAGGCCTTTCCTTTCTTATTTATTTATTTTTTTGAGAATATGATGATGGGGTGTGTCGCGTGTGTGTAGGTATCGACTTATGTTCCCAATAGAGTGCCGGTTGGTGCTTAGTAGGACTCTGTTCATGGTATTCTCCATCCCCTCCCCTCCCCTTCCCATCTGTGCATGGGTTTTGATCCCTGCCCGTTTAGATACATTTTAATGGTAATACAATGGCACCTGGTCGTACCAACCTCGTCCTTCAATCTCCTCCGTATGTCATCATCCTACGCTTTCAGTGTCAGTTTTGCGAAGTGCTTGAACATCTTCCTCATGTTGGAGTGTGAGAGAAGCTATAGGGCGTTGGTTTCATGTCTAAATTGGCAGCCATAACGGATTTCATTTCCAAGCATGTAAAATGTCCAACACAAATACATGAAAGTAAATTTGACGATAATTTTTTTTTAGAATTTTCGTTGTGACCTATTTTAGTGACAAGAAAATAAGAGAGAGAGAGAGAGAAAGAGAGAGAGAGAGAGAGAGAGAGAAGAGAAAGTGTAGGAATTTCTCTGTGTGATCAAGCGAGTATACTTCAGGATTGTTCCCTTAGAGTTTGACATAATTATAAAGAGAACTAACAATTTACAACTCAAAAAGTTTACACATATCAATACCTTAAACAAGCGTCTGAAACATCGTCTTCGGCAAAGACTTGGTGAAGAGGTCGGCCAAGTTGTCCTGGGAACGGATTTGCTTGACTTCAATCTTATGATACTCTTGTTGTTGATGTGAGGAGAAGAACTTTGGCGCAATGTACTTGGTGTTGTCTCCATTGATGTATCCCTTCTTGGGTTGTTCGGTACATGCTGCGTTATCTTCAAAGATCTTTGTAGGGACGTCAACGATGGAAGAAAATTTGCAGGTGCTTCGAATGTGTTCCACAACTGCTCTTAGCTAGAAGCATTCTTGAGTAGCTTCATGTAGGGCAAGAATCTCAGCCTGGTTCGAAGAAGTGACAACTAAGGTCTGTTTCGTTAACCTTCAAGATGTTGCGGTGTCTCTAAAGGTAAAGACATAACCCGTTTAAGAGCGTGCCTTATGCGGATCGGATAAGTATCCTGTATCAACATAACTAGTAAGCCGAGAATCAACTCAAGAACTAAGGGGGTTGCGACACCTTTCGATAGGGATAGAACAAACTTTAACTCGTCGTACCTTTCGATAGTGTCTACGTGTGAGCACATTGTTTTATCTTGCCAAAAGATTGACAGCGAAAGAAATCTTGGGTCTAGTACACTGAGCTAAGAACAATAAAGCGTCAATCGCACTTAGATATCAAACTCAGGTTCCAAAATCTCTTCTTCATCCTCCTTAGGATGAAAGAGATGTCGTTTAACATCTAGCGATCGAATGACCATAAAGGTACTCGAAAGCTTCTCATTATCCTCATTAGAGCGATGCAACATCTTCTAGGTATAGTTCAATTGATGTACTAGGATTACATTCAGACTATGCTCGTTCTCCAGGTCGAGACATGTCATAGTATTGAGTTTTCCCAATATCTTTCATCTCAAATTCCGACTTTAGGTGTGATAGGATTTTTAGGTACCTGCGCAAAGAGGTTAAAATCACACAAAATACTTGCAAGATAATAAGGTTGTTGTAATATAAACGGCTCAAGCAAGGTCGTTTTCCGTAGGGATTATTTAAAACAATTTATGCAAAACCAAAATCTTAGTTAATTATTTGCAAACAAAGATTGAAAAAAGGTTGATTTTGAATTTAAAAGTAATAAAAACGAATTTTAATAAAAGTAATTTAGGGGAAATCAACTAATAACCAATTAAAAAGGAAACAAATCAAAGAGAAAATGTTTTGAGAGGCAAATTTGGAAAAATACTAGGGTTCCGCCGTCCCCCTAACAATCCTACGTAGTTCTTCTAATTTCTTATGAATTACAACATATTTTGAAGGTTAGGTTTTTCTAAAATATATCCTACTTGGAACCTCCAACATAGAACGTATATCTAACATGCAACCTGTCTGTGATGTCTAGATTGAATGTGAACATGCAAGACTCATTAAGTTTTGTGAAAACCTTTTGAAAAACCATATAACTTTTAAAACGTGTCGTCCTTCCTAAGTAGCTACACATGTTAACCACAAGAAGCCTTAGTGAATTTTAGGGACAACCCTCCGCCAAAATTACATCAAATTACTTTTCTAAATATCCTAATGGTCACGAATCACTAAGACAAATAGATAGTTTAAATTGGTGATTAACAATCCAAAACTTGCATGCATAAATTCATAAGAAAATTAAAAAGAGACTACATATTCTTGCTAAGGATCATGGCCTCATCCTAGCAAAAAGGATTTGTTACGCATGTTCATAATTAAAACCAAAAAGTCTTTATTGAAATAGAAAAAGAATGAAAACATCTTGTATAATAAAGTCTGAAAATCTCTAAGTTTTGCCCAAAATCTTCTCTCCAATCTTGCGTAAGTGGAAGAAGAACCCTAGGGCCAGCCAAAAGGCTTATTTATGCTACTCTAAATAAAATCCTCTTAGTAAAAAGTCTTAGAATAAAACTAGGAAACCTAATAAATTGAAATAAATTAGAAAACATAATTCTAAATTAACTTGGTAAATTCGCTCAAAAATCTGCACATCAATGTTTTAGACCCAAATCAGCTCCAAAACTGGCCCGAAATAGCTAGATTTAAAGCTTGAACTATTCTGAACACTTCTCCAGAAGGCCACGAACCCATCAGAGGTAATCTTGGGCTCCAAAAATGCAATTTAAGCCCAAAAAGGTCAATTTTCAACAACGCGCACTGCTTCTTTATTTAATCGCCAGAAATTGATGAAATTTTGACATGAACAAGCTAAGGAACACACAAACGTCCTTCAATTTGAATTTGAATCACTCCAAAATTCGTCTGTTTGGTCACGTTTTGATTCAGAGGAAGTCGAATGTCCTACATTGAAAATATAAAGCAAAGTATCAAAATTCTACCAAAATAATTACCAAATTATATTAAGAATAAGGTAAAATATATAATATAATATTGACTCATCAAGGTGCGCAACAGTTTTCTCAAGCTCTTCAGGAGTCGCAATGAGATTCATCTCGTCGACATAAATTTCAATGATCACAAATCCAGAATGTGACTTCTTAATAAATACGCTAGGTCATAGGTTTTACATACCCTTGACTTATCAAATACTCATTCAGACGGTTAGACAAATTCTACCCGGAGTGCTTCATTTCGTAAAGTGAATGCCTTAATCGGATGGAGAGGGTGTTCTGTTATTTAGAACTATTTGATACAGTCAATGTAAGTCATTCAAGAACTTTCATATAGATTTCAGTATCAAGATCCCCATAGAAATACGAAGTTACCACGTCCATAAACTGCATATCTAGTTTTTCATAAACCACCAAACTGATAAGGTAGTAGAACGTAATCACATCCATTACGGAAGATGTTTCATCATTATCAATTCTAGGGCATTGAAAAAGCCTTGCGTTACAAGACGTGCTTTATATCGCACTATTTCACTCCTCTCATTACGCTTCCTTACGAAAACCCACTTGTAGCTAACATGCTTCACATGTGGCAGTGTAGGAACTACAGGCCGAAACAACTTGCGTTTCGCAAGAGAATTGAGTTTGACTTGGATTGTTTATTTCCAGTTTGACCAATCGGTTCTACCTTGACATTCATCAACGGAACGAGGTTCAATGTCATTACTCAGTAGTTACTACATATGCTAATGCATCGTCGATTATAATCTCATTTCTATGCCAAATATCATCCAAAGCTAGCATAATGGATCAAAATCTCTTGATTCTCAGCAGGTGGATTCATCTCTTCCAAGACTTTTTCATAGTCTACAATTTCCTCATGCTTTGGATAAAATGAGTAAGCGATGGTCGGATTCACGGTAGGCTCACTAGCCTGTGTCGTTGTTTTCTTCTTTTGGGGTTGTGAATCCTTTGAACCAACGGGTCTATCACATTTCTAGGTAGAAGCAGATGATTGGTTAGCCGCCAATGTATGGGGGTTGGCCATATGGTTGTCCTGGCCTTCTGGGAGGAAGGTCCATCGTACATTTGGTACATCCATCTTTGCAGGCACGTTTGCAGCTGGTATATGTGATATTGTCAATCTCGCTAGATTAGTGAAAGCATCTGGTATGCTCCGAGTTATTGCAGTAAATGAATGACTAGAAAAGATTAGTTACAATCTGATGTAATTCCCTATTTATAGTAAGCACATTAGCTTATTGACTAAGCTAACACCTTTAATAACCAACCTCACAAGATTATGACATTTGTCAATACAAGATCATGCCATCGGTCTAACATTACACATCTAATACTCAATACATCTCAAATTAAAAATTCCTACTTTTGTTCAAATATCAAATTTATTTCGCTCATCTAAACGAAGGGTTATAGTTTAGCCGCCCAACAGAATGTTCCTTCCTTTATCGGCACAGAACAAACCATATGGAATCGCTATCAGCAGTGGAACCCATCTTCCAATCATGCACTGAATTGAACACCTTGGGGCATCTGGGGTATAGAGAGGTTTACCCGAAAGTCGTGAACGATCTGGTCTCCTACACTTGCACGGTTGGAAGATTGTTAGTTGGACGTCAATATGTGTTTTTGTTCTTGATGTTGCAATGCAGGGAAAGCGAACATTTAACGTAACCTAATTCTAATTCGTTTTCTCGTCCAGTCTCACCACTTGAGCTAACGAACTATCTAACGTTCGTCGGCTGCTTGAAATGTTGCCGAAGCAAAATTCAAACTTGGAAAGTTGGCTGCTTAACAACCGCCGAATGCAAGGAATGGTGGCTCCATATCATGAGATGCAAGTCAATGCACCATTTCTGTAGAAGAAGATTATGACATGTTACAGTGCTATATTCACGTGGGGAT